AGGCACGAACATAGCTGATTTTCTGATTTTTAAAGAGAAGTCCAAAAGACAGGTTTTTCAGTGGAACACTCTCTTACGTGGGAGTTGGGCATTAATCTTTGTGAAGGAGTGTTTAGAGCACTGCGCGAAGCTCTGTTTGTGGGGACACGGTGAGTGAAGATATTTAGACCTAGGCATCCTGCGGCAAACAATCTAGACAGCTAACTGAAAACTAAAAACAGGGAGGACCACATAACGCCACAAGCAAAACACACCTGTGGGACCGAGTCAGCCTTGGCCGGTCCTGAGACACGGCCCATGAGCATCACCAGGGGTCTGGGCTAAAATACAGGTTCCCAGGCCTCATCCACAGAGGTTTTGATTCACTGGGTCCCGGGTTGGAGCCTGAGAACTTCCATTTTTAACACTGTCACTGACTGCTACCCGTGCTCTATAAACAGCGCTTTAAGACCCACTGCACTAAATCACCGTGTAGCCCCGGGCATGCTTGAGCTCCCTTGGGCCTCAGTTTCCCCATCTATAAAGGGAGGGTACTGAATGACCACTTCTCCCTGAGTCCATCTGCTCCACTAGGCTTTCCAGCGTCCCCATAGCCCCAGGTCGTCTGAGGAAGGCAGCCGTTGGATCCAGGCCCTGCCTGCATCCGCCAGACCCCTCTGGAAGTTTCTATCCAGAAACTCTATCCTGCAAATATTTTAGTATTTTGTTGACAGGTTTTTAAATTTAGCAACCTGATGCTAAGGGAAGAGTCGTATCAAAGCTGAGAAGAAAGGAGCGTGAACGCTGAGATTTTCCAGCTGCTGCCACAGAGCCTTGGCGGCCTTTGGGGTGTTTATAAGCAGAGGAAGCCCTAATGCACCCAAGGAAAAGACGACAGCGTCTACAGGGGAGGGACGGCAGTGCTGAGGGCGAAACAGGAAGACGCTGTTTCCGCAGGGGCCAACGGCTTGGAGCCGCATCGGAAGTAGTGGGTGGAAGTTACTCAGGATGGAGTTCAGTCCAGTATCAGGAACAACCTTGTAAAGTCGGGGGAGCAAAGATGGAGTGGTCAGTGGCCCGGCATGGGCAATTTTCAAGGGGCAGTTCATCAAACAGCGTTCCAAGAGATTTAAGCCTCAGAAAGACAGAGAAGTATCTGTTCAAGTAATATCAGGGAAGCATCAACGATGCTGATTTTCATCCCTGAAAATGCAGTGATGGTCAAGACAGATGCAGTCCTGCCCTCAGAGGTGGAGGCCAAGGGGACAGATCGTCAGCGGGCCGTGCAGCTGGGAGGGACGGAATGTGTAGAGGCTGCAGCACGGACAGAGAAACCCACCTGCTCTGGACTTCCACCTGCCAAAGGAGCACTGAGCTGAGCCCTCAGCGTCTGCAGGTGGGTGAAACAAGGTTCTAGAACATTCCAGAAAGGGCCCTTCCTACTCTGTGTGCTCGCTGGTCCTGGGGGTTGCAGGAGAGAACCCTCAGGATTTGAGGAACATGTACTGTGTTCCCTCAGGCTAACCCTCAAGAATGGCCAGGCATCAAACGGACTTTTTCTCTCCCCGCGTTTGCACCCAGGGCCCGTGAGAAGCTCCCAGAAAGCTCCATCTGCCAAACGGCAAGACCCGCAGTGGCTCGCAGAGACGAAGGGGGGGGTGGGGTGGGAAAGCAGGCAGGGATGAGCGCTAGAAAAAGCCAGCGCCGGGGCCAGCCAAGTGGCTCAGTCAGTTAAGAGCGCAAGCTCTGAGCAACAGGGTCATCAGTTCGATTCCCACATGGACCAGTGAGCTGCGCCCGAGCTGAGCTGCCGCCGAGCTGCCAACAGGTGACAGGATGGCTCAGCTGGTGAAAGCACGTGCTCCTAACAACAAGGTTGCCAGTTCAAATCCCGCATGGGATGGTGGGCTATGCCCACCTGCAACTAAGATTGAACACGGCACCTTGAGCTGAGCTGCCACCCGGATGGTGACTAGACTTGAAGCTGAGCTAGCTGCGCCCTCCACAACTAAGATTGAAGGACAACAGCTTGGCTGTTCCCCTTCCCCAATTTCCCATTAAAATCTTTAATAAAAAAATTTTTTTCAAAAAAATGCCAGCATCAGTCGAAGAACTCGGCAAGTGCCGCTTCCATTTTCTATCTGAGAACTCAGACGGGACGGCTACAATGCTTGGGTGTTTTACTCCCTTTTGAAAAGCTCACACTTCAGCTCTGCTTCCTAAAACATTCTTTTAAAAAAAAATCAGCCAAGACTATGGATGGAGACCACAAGATAATTTGGAAATAAGAAATACAGAAACAACTGGACCCTTGGAGTAGGAGTGGGGAGCGTTTCTCTCCTTAAAAGTAATGCATTGTAAGTTTGTGCCTACCATCACCACCAAAAAAAAAAGAGGGAAGGAAAAACCGAGCCGTGTACCTGAAACAGTGTCTAGTGAATACCACCAACATTACTACGCGACGTCAAGTCAAACCGTTTTTGAAGCTTACCACTTACAGAAGTCTCATTGTAAATGATACCCACGAAAGCACATTTCCGATGAGCTATTCGTGTTGAAATGAACACAAAACCACTCATTTTTAAATTGCCCCTTGCGCCTCCTGAGATCATCACACAGTCACGTCTGCTGCATTTTAGGGACCTGCATCTGGAAATGCCAGGCAGACCTTCCCTGCTCAGCCTCGCTCTCCTTGAACCCAGAACTGCAAGCTCATTTGGGCTCCAGGGAAACCGCCAGAACAGAGGGGACAGTGAACAGAACTGGGACCTGCGCGCCAGGGTCCTTGTGATGTCAGGATGCCCGGCAGCCCTGAGGCTGCGATCTAGACCAGAGAGACAGACTGAGAAACGCCCAACCTTCGTCTACAATCACGTTCAGCCTCAGGCCAGCCCGGGCTCAGGGAGCCAAGGTTGATTTAAGGTTTCCTGGCTTCGTTTTATATCTGGCCATACTTTAAAGAACGTGCCCAAATGAACGATGCCTTCCAAGCTTCCAGTGAACACAGCACAGAAGTTATTAACTGAGTGGGACGTGGAGGCAGAGTTCAGAGCTCTCTCCAGCCCCCGAGCTCTCCTCTTTTTTAGGATGAAATGAGGGAACACATGTAATAGGGTTAGAAGAATTGCAGGCACATAGAAACGATTGTGGGTCATTATTAGGGTCAGTCCAAATGTGTTAGCCCGTCAGGGGGCACACTGGGGTCTCATTAGGATGAATGTCCTCGTGAAACTGGCCAACGTGCCAGGCAGACATCAGCTTGTAGTCTTCACAACAATGCACCAGGAAGGCACTACAAGCGACCCATTTTACAGATGAGAAGCCTGGGCTCAGAGGTTAAGAGGTAGCCCAAGGTCACTGCAGAAAGGATTGGAACCGGAATTGGGACCCGGACACCTGGCCTCGGAGCCCAAGCTCCTAACACGCATGTTCAACATGCACAAAGATGAAAAGGGTGCAGCCTGAAGGAGCTGTGACAGTGACACGGAGCAGGTCACTATTCAGTGCCACCAGAGTCGGGGGTGGGGGGAACGTCTCAGGAGAAACCCCATATTTTTACGTGAACTTTTCCAGCTGTTCAATGTTGGCAGCTAATTAGTAAATTTTAACTCCAGGCCTGTGAAGCCAAACATAGCCCCAGGCCAGAATCAGCTCAGAGGCCTCTGAGAGCTTGTGGCCTCGGAGTTCAGGTAAAACTTCCCAGTAGCTCTGATCCCCAATAGCCGTGCTCCCCGCTGGTCCCATCCAGTCCCCCCTTGAGGGCTGCTATCCCAGGGTGGTCCCTACTCACTGGAATTCTTGGGACCCACACTATTTGCATTCCAGGAAACAAATTCCATCAGCAGCGGGGGCTGTCCAGAGACCTCCCCTCCCAAGAAAGAAGCTATTTCCCGGAGACCCACGCAAACCAGCACACACTCTGCAGCCCCCTAATGGGGACATGGCTGTCCTCACAGTCAGCTGCAGCCATGCCCGGGGCTGTTTGTAGCTTAGAGGAAAGAATCAGCCTCCTGTGTGTCCAGGGCTGTTTGAGCCCACAAACAGCTCACAAGACAGACCTGTAAGCCCGGCCATGGTTTTGGACCTCAGAACCACTTCTCAAACTCTGGGTTCTGCGAAGTCCAAAACGTATCTTCCCGCGTACTTTCGCCTTGTTAAGCTGTTGTTTATTTTCGTTGGAATGCGGTCCCTCTGTCCCAGAGTTATGTACCCAAATTCATCACAACGCTGTTTCGATGAGGCCGTTGGATACCCAAGGAGCCCAAGAGCTTTCAGACAGGACTGCATTAAACACTTTTTTCCCCCCCTAGAAATAAAAATTTTCCTTTTGCTGAGGATAATGAAACTGGAAAGCTGGAAGCTGATTTGGACGGCAGGGGACACTTTCCCAGAAAGCTTTGAAATGTGGCCCAGACGTCCTTTGTCTGAAGCTCAGATAATAAAGAGCAAGTTACTGTGCACAGGGAAGTAACAGCGAATTGATTCCTCGTTTCTCTTTTGCATACATGTGTTTTGTCTGTGGCGTTATTTTAAGCCCCGGCCTGCAACCACGAGCCCTCTCCGGTGCCCCAAGTCTCCATGGCTGCGACAGAAACGTGAGTCTTGCAAAGCTCACCCAGGCCAGCCCCACTGTCACCATCCTGGGGCCAGCGAGAGCAGCTGTGAGCCACACAACCTGCAGACGTCCCACAAACGCCGCGGGCCTCTCCAAATCCCCGTGTGACGTCACTGTGTCTGCTTTTTATGGAAGGTTTTTGTTGTTGTTGTTGTTGTTTTCTGTATGAGATTAAGTACTTTGATCTCACATTTCTGTAAGATGATGTTTTAGTCTCCAGGACGGGTCTCTTGTGAGAATCCTGGGTGCCTGCATCCCATCCTTCTTCCCCTTCCAACCTACATGCGACGATTTCCCCAAATTTGGCAACTGACCAGAAGGCCACAGTCACATCTGCCACTACCCAGAGGAGCAGATGCTACCTGCCAACGAGACACAGAAAAACTGCCGAATGGCTGCCACTCACCCTCGGGGCCGCACTGCGCCGGGTTACTGATGCAGGAGGTCTTGTACCTGCCGTGGTACAGAAGCGTGACGCCTTTCTCCTCCTTGAGGTAAATGCCTTTGTTGACCTTCCCTTCGACAATATCTAAGTGAAAAGAATGACGGTGTCATACGGTAATCATCTTATGAGATCAGAAGTCTAAAGATGTGCGAGACAACGTAAAGAAACAGCGCTATTTATATGTACACTCACGTATCTCTAGTACTAATGTCAACCGCATTTCATATTTAGCGGTTGATAATTGAAGTATATAAATTTGTGAGTTGATGTGAATATTAAATAAATTTATATCAATTAACATCTATGCTATATACTAATACTATATTAGCATGGACTCTGTACCACACTATAATGATGTTACAATTATTATACTTGCCAACGGTTGCGCTACCAGGAGCAATAGGATTATGATCTTTACACAACATCGACTGTCCTAAACTTTAATTCCAGCCACGGGCTTCCTGGGTCCTCCCCACGCCACCTTCACGCTAAACCTCCCAAGCAAAACTCTTAGATACAAGTCTGAACCTAACACTCCCCCCAAGCTCTCTCTCTGTCTGAGTTCTCATTGAAAGCCTCTAGCCCCACACATGGGAACCCAGGATTTTAAAGGACTCCATTTCCAAACTCACAGGAGGAAAACCGTGAGTCACATTTGGAATCGTCCCAGACGAGCTTGCCTCCTGCAAGGCCCAGGGGCCCCGAGTCCGAGCAGGGCACGCCGCCCTGTCGTCACTCTGTTTTGTCCCTTTGCCATAGTGAACATATCTGATGCTGTGAGTGTCTTGTAAATGGTTTACAGAATCGATAAGTGAGGACTGTACAAACCAAGGACGGTTGGGCATTTATTGTTACCAGGGTCAAAGTCACTGAAAAAACCCCCTCGGCCATGTGGGCGTTTGCCTGCACGGACAACAGCTGCGTCATCGAATTAGGCTATGTAAACCCCTAACCCAGACCGTTTGACTGGCAAAATGAATTTTGGAAGCCAGATGCCTCACAGCTGAAAGAGCAATTGGTTGTATTTGTTGAAAACAGATCAAAGGGAGGCACCGAAATTATCGGGGCCGCCTTTCTACCCTGGTCAGACAGAGGCCACGACGGCTCTTGTCAATTTTGCTTTAAGCTGTACAGGAAAAATATGGGCTCTGAAGGTTATTAAATAAGATAATAATTTAACCATGACTCTTGTGGGTGTGTGTTTTATGAAACAGCTTCTAATGATTAAAAAAAAAAATTCCAGCAACAGAAGAAACGCTGATGTTAACGTTTGTAAGAGATCGCATTTTTCACGAGGTATTTTAAAATCAACTTTAACTTTCCGTTTAAGAGGGCATGTTTTTCCTTCCCCGAAAGAATATAATCCATTTTTAAAAATCCAAACAATTTCTATTATTAGCAAACCTCTCTCCCCACACGTCTGGTTTGTTCTGAAAGCAAGCAGCTGGCTGGGAAGAGCCTGGTCGCTTGAAAGCTTATCGACACCTTTTAATGCCTTCCTCTCCACCTACGTCAGCGTAGTGATTCTCGGTACCCTGGGTCTGCTGCTCTTTTCGTGGGTGTTTGTGCGTTTGCTATCGCCCAGACATAGAGAATTCTTACAGAACCCAATCGATGGGCCTTCACGTTCAGTGTAGGCCCACACCGGACAGAAGGCAGGACAGACGTGGGCGCGTGCTCACCTACGGTTGCAGAGAGATTTGAGTAGGCAGAGTCATTGGTAGACACAAAGGTAGAATTATGGGAGGGGAGCACAGTGAGGTTGTGGGTTCGTGGTGCTGGGAGAAACAACAAAAAAAGCACAACAGATGAGTGACACACAAAACAACGCAGCCAACGTATCTCTCAACGTACCATGCACGTCAGGAAGCATTCCTTTCACCTGGGAGTTACCCTGCCGGCCGTACCGCCCTCCCATCTACTCAGCCAACGCTATGGCTGACTCCAGTGGCCCCGCTGGGTCCACGCTAGAGCGTGATGGCGGCTGAATTTGGCCACAGCCTTTGGTTCCCATTTGCTGGCTCCACCCCCCCACCCCCACCCCCGAACCCGGACATTTAGTTGAGAGATATGAAATTGAACTTGGCCGAACGACAGCCTTAACAAACGGACTGAAGGTGGTGATGTCACAGGAGCTGATGGGACAGAAACACAGCATGAAAACAGCTACATGATATGATGACAAATGGACAAAACGACAGAGAATCCAGCAACAAATAACAGAGCTGCACGTCCACGAAATGGCTTCCAAAGCCATTCAACTGTCCCCAGCAGCAAAAAGAGCACAGATTCTGTTCTTTTTTTCTTAAGAAGCCTGTAATCAAATTGAAATATACCAGCACAGCACTCTACCTTAAAGAATGGATGCAATAGAAAATGCTATAAAACCTCCATCATGCGAGTGTTTGGGGGGGCAAATGTCAATACATTTAGACTTTTACGGCAAATGGGTGCATTTGGTGAATGCCATTTAACCACAGCGTAATTGTGTCTTGAGTAATTACATCACGTTATATGAAGAATTTTTCATAGGTAAAGGTTTTCCAGACACCAATAGTTACTGATTTAATCACAACAATGACTCGAGGGCAGGGGGTGGGGAGAGAAATACACGGATCGTTATCTGAGCTCTTGTGTGAAATAACTCCTAGGGTTGTAGTTTCAGCGCCCCAAACAATGAGCTGTTTTGACAATGCTTTCCACTTGGTGGAACAATCTCCTTTCAAAGGCTTTAAAATAAAGGCCCTGAGAAAAGAAAACTAGATTATAACAAGGGGGAGCAGTTTCTGTTAACCTGAGCTAGTCATGTAATAAACTCCAAAAGTACAGGTCCGCTTTGGAGAAGATACAGAGCCGCAGGGGGGTCTCCCCCCTCAGCCGCCACGGCCGCCTCTGCCCTGAGGATGCCAGGAGCATGGACACCCCCCCACCCGTGACGCTTCTCGATTCGCAGATTTTAGGGGAAATGTTTTAGAACTTCAGGTGGCAATTTATGGCAGCACATGAAGTCGCAGGAATAAGGAGAAGGCCAACATGCTGGTTTGGGAAGCACAGCAATCAGCAGTATGCAGGATTTAAAAAAAAAATAATCCACTCCACAGACCAGTGTGGACACCATTGGAGCACCCGCGGCAGGGTGTTTGCAAGTAAAGCTTTGCTGTATACACCCGCCATTTGACATAACCAAGGGCAATAAAGGAAACAAACAAACAAACAAAAAAACAAAAACATAAAAGCATCCCAAATCACTCAAAACAGACACTTTTTAAAAAGTTCTTATTGGAATGGAAAAAAGTGCTCAGGGTTACATGAGGTTTCCCCTTCCGGCAAACGTCTGAGTTGGGTCAGGTACAGACTTTATTGTCCATGGAATTGGGGACCCCTGGGAGCGTCTTAGGTATTGATCTTCCCAAAGGGGCCACCATGATGTAGGGAGAGGCCGGGTGGGAGGTAGGGGTGGCTTTGCTGAGTAAGACCCTGACCTACAAACATGCGAGTTCATCTTTGTTGGCACAACCTTCGGCACTGGGTTTGGATGGGTTCGTGTTTGGGCAGGCACAGAGGTTATGCCAGCTTCTCCCCAGAAAACATACATCGGGACCCATATGTAAGTTGGCCCAATACCTGCAGCTTAAAGCTTAAGAGGGCAGCTTCGGTTTTAAGGGTCTGGGGAAAACATACCTTTTAACAATGCTTTGACTCATAAGTTCTGTCCTTCAATCATCCAAATATATAGAAGTTCTAGTGAGACACCTTGGAATGGCAATGATTAGGGAAACTGCACAAATGTTTGTTCGTCCCCGTGGTCCTGGCTTCAGAGCACATGCTGGGCACGGGGCTTCCCCAGGCCCTGCTCCCCAAGCCACCCACCCCCGTGGCCTCAGGGGCTCTCACCGCCCGCATGTACCTCCAGTTGTGTCCTGCAGTTCATGGATCCCGTCCACATGCTCCAGGGGCCAGTAATGGGAGGCAGAGGCCAAGACCTCAAAGCCTGCAGGGAGAAGAAGCACATTAGGGGGGGAGACGCCAGCGTGAGGTCCGCTAACCGCGTCTGCAGCATGCCGGGGGCCGATGCGTCCCAGGGACGGTGGCACACACCGGAAGGGCGTTTGAACAGCTTCTCGTGGTGGGTTTTGTTTTTTAAGTCTTAATAAATTAGAAACCAATGACTATTTCCCTAACAGGGTAAAACAGGATAAATAGGGATAGACAGGTACCTTTGAACCCAAGAAAATAAAGCCACCATGCTTAACGGCACAACACCAGAAGCGTGGCTATGAGTGTCAGGAAAAAGAAAAGAACGTCCAGTATCACGTTATTATTTAATATTGTTTTGACCCAGCAATTCCTCTCCTGGGTATCTAACCAAAAATCTGAAAACATTTATCTGTACGATATATGTGCTCCGATGTTCACTGTAGCATTTTTCACGGTGGTCAAGACATTGAAATAACCAAAGCGTCCTTCGATAGATGACTGGATAAAGAAGATGTGGTACATATACACAATAGGATACTATTCTGCCATCAGAAAAGATGAAATACTGCCGTTTGCAACAATGTGGATAGATCTTGAGATTATCATGCTAAGTGAAATAAGTCAGACAGAAAAAGTCAAGAACCATATGGCTTCACTCATGAGTGGGATATAAAACTGAAAGCAACAAAGGAACAGGACAAACAAACAAAGAAACAAAACTCATAGACACAGACAACAGTTGAGTGGTTGCCAGAGGATAAGGGGGGAGGAGGGTGGTAAATGAGGGTAAACAGGGTCAAATACATGGTGATGGAAGGAGAACTGACTCTGGGTGGTGAGCACACAATGTGATATACAGACGATGTATTACAGAACTGTACACTTGAAACCTATGTAATTCTACTAACCATTGTCACCCTGATAAATTTAATTTATATATATGTTGTTTTGAGGAAATACCTGATGTAATCAGATGAGAGAAGGAAATAAGGTTGAAAACAGAAGAAGCGCCAGCCAACACTAGTCGTGGTCCAGAGGTTTGTGCGAGGTTGTGCAAACCCTTGCTCATGTCATCCTAACAGTACCCTTTAAGGTCGCTGTAGTCTCCGCCCATTTGGAAGGACAAGGAAAGAAACGCTTCCTCGGCCACCACCCGCCAGCGAGCCCCTAGCGCCTTGGTCTGACCTTCCCATCCCCTCTGTGTTTCCTCCACACCGAAAATTACTCATTCTCCAATTTCCTTCACGATCCTTGGGCTTTGAGCAGACATAATTTTGGGCAGACGCGGTCCTTTTGAGTGTGCCCTCACTTAATGCCATGTGCCTTCTTTCATCATTTACTTTTATCTGGGCGTCCTAACGAGTGTGGGCGACGTCCCCTAGATGGGCCGCTCCACCCGTCACACACTCCGCCGTTCGCCCAGCTCTAGTCTTCTCTTGGGTTCGTTCTCTGCACTCAGTTCCCAGAAGTGGAAAGAATGGTCCAGATGGCTAAGTAATAATCAACTGCCCTAGATGTCTGCCAGATCGCAAAAAACTAAAAATTAATCATCCTTGTGTTATTCATTGTAATACACATTTTTAAAGAGAGGATAATAGGATCATTATTTTCAAACGATGTGTGCCTCATAACGAAAATGAAGAAACCATTACAAATAAGAAAAGAATTTGGTGAGTGAAAAACTGTTACAAACAATGAAGGAATTTAGAAAGGAGGCTTATACAGATTTCATAGGCAAATGTCAGCTGCTTCCCTGTAGTCAAATAGTAACGCTAAAAAAGCAATAAAAGTTCTCATTTTATAAGTTCGCCCAATGGAGAGAAAACATTTCAGAATAAAAGAACAAGTGCTATACAAAACCCCCCTGCAGGAGACAATAAAAGAATACTGAGGGGCGTAAAAGAGCCCTTGAGTGAATGAGGCAGTTGACCTATTCTTGGAAAAGAAAACTCAAAACCATAAAATATCAACTACCCTTTATATACAAAACTGAGGAAATTTGTTGTGAAAATGCTGAGAGTTTCTTTGTAAGGGAGAAAGCGGAATGTGAAGCATATATAGAAAAATAAATAGGCTAGAATAATCAGGGAACTCTGGGGAGGGGGCGGCAGAGCCTGAGGGCAGCTGAGGCTCACAGATAGTAAGACATACGACGGTAAAGCCACAGTAACAGAGGCTTGGTAACACGCACACACACACAGGCCAGTGGGAAAATACCCATCGACACCCCAAGCACATATGAAAATGTATTTTATGATAAGGTGGTATTTCAACTTAGAGGAGGAATATTACTCGACAAAAGGTATTAGAACCAGTTAGCCATCTAAAAAATATAAGATCCCTACCTCACTCTTTATACCATAACAACCTCTAATGATCAAAATTTAAATGTAATAAAACAGAAAAGCTTCTGTTTTGTTGTAAATTTGACTACATAAATTTTTTAAATATCTGCAGAAAAATAAATCAAGCTACACTGAACTGGGGAGTGATGTATACACAATACATAGGTTGGAGATGTACTGGTCTCTTTGTAGAGGTGTTACATTTGTTATATTAATAAAACTCCTATTATTAAGAAAATTTAAACCAACAGAGCACTGGAACAAAGTACATAAAGGAAAATAAATGCAAATTATTTTTAAATATATGAAAAGATGTTCAGCCTGGCTCATTGTTTTCAAAAGCGTGCTAAAACTGAAGTGAGATAGCCTAGGACAGTCCACCTATCAGACCCACAAAAAAAAGTTAGATATTTATATATACAAGTTGGCGTGTTCTACCCCGTTTTGGGTGGGAATTCAAATCAGGGTAGCCTTTCCGGAGAGCAATGTGACAATATTTATCCAAATTTTAAGGGCACATTCCCTTTGGTCTCATAATTCCACTCTGAGGAATCCATTCTAGAGCTATACTCATGCATATGACCAAAGACCTATGTACAAGGTATTTGTTGCAAGTTTTATATACATAGTATCAAAAGCCTGCCACCGTCTACATGAGCACAGAGCATCCGTGTGATGGACTGGCGTGCAGCTTGCATGAACGACGCAGCTGATACATAGGTACTGGTAGGGGACGTTCTCTGAGTTACACTGCTGAGTTAAAAAAAAAAAAACCAAGGTGAGAAAAAAGTGTGTGTACTCTGAGCCACTTGTGTAAAACACAGTTGCTCAGGGGGAAGGGAGGGTGGGAACCAGAGTAGGGGAGGGGGTAGTGTTTGGATGGGCACCATTAAGACGGGCACCGGTGTTTCAGGGCCGAGGAGGTTGAGCAAGTGGGTGTAAGAGGTAAGAGGACTTTGAGGCCTCGTTACCTTCGTGTTCTCCTTGAACGCTTGGACTGTATTTATTTTAGAAGTATTTCAACTTGCTTTACAGTTAGAATGACCCCTGGGTAATGTCCATGCTAAATTTTCGGATGAAAACTGAAGCACCCCATCTAATATTGGAGTTTTTGTTCACTGGGCGCCAAAAGCCAGCACACGTCCAGGTTACTGGTCCCATTTTTCAGCTTGCATCTGTGAGGCTGTCCCTTCAACGTGTTATGTGTCTAAGCCCAAAACATAAGCCAAGGACAGAATTAGTTCCATCAATATGGGCTGAATCGTTGCTGTGCTCCCTTGTGAGGGGTAGGATGACACACACTCCAGCCGACGTCCGCTGGGCGCGGCTCTATCAGCAGTGCCACAGAGAGAGCCTGGAATGTCACAGTTAGAAATACTCATTTTCGTTGCTACCACGCTTTTCCTTTCCTAAAATCCAGGCTGCCCCTGTTGAAGCAGGAAGACACCGCTGGCTTGTTATTCAGTGCATCTGGGAGAAGAAATTGGAAAAGGAGAGAACAGCTGTTGTACAAAGAACAGATGTTGTGTCTTCAGAACCCTCATCTTCACAAAACAAGCCCTGTGTTCCTGTCACCTCCATTTGCAAATGGTCACAGTCCGTTCTGGGCAGGAAGGCTGAGGGAGCCAAGGGAAGGCGTCTCGTCCCCAAGCTCCCCGGAGCCTATCAGTGTCCACGGTGGGGCCGGGGGTTTGAGATCAGAAGAGTGTCTGCTGGTCCAAGTCATTGGACTTTAGACAAGAGGAAAACACCCACTAAGTGCCCCAGAGGTCTTGTAACTAGTCACACTGACTGCGTCCAACAGACCAGCGGCCGGGATGCTGCACAGGCCTGGAAGACACAGGCCCAGACTAGTCAGGACAGAGCCCAGGTCACCCCGAGTAGTGCGGGATGGGGCCAGCTGTGCCACGTGGAGACAAGGGCACCTGCTGCCCAGGCCCAGCCACGAGGCCCCGTAGGAAGCCGTGCGTGCCCAGCACCGCCAGGCCTCCCACTTTTAAAGAGAAGTCGGAAATCCCGCGTTTTTCATTTGAAATCTCCCCCAATTTTAATGTTAGGAATTAAGTTTTCTTGATGAAAACACCGTGTGGTGTTAATAAGACGTGCCAAAGAACTGAATTCGACACACAGATTCCCTTTTACAAGCTAAGGCGTAAACAACCCAGACACCTACAAGTACCCCTAGAGCAAGAAAATCCTCTTCTTTTGCAAATAAGACCTTGGGGCTGTTTCCCCTCCAAAAAAGGTAACATGAGATTTCCTACTCATGTAATTGCCCCGCTTTTCACCAGATCAACTCTCATAAACACTGAATGTCTACTCAGACAAGACCGCAAGCCAAGTGACAACATGGCTTATCTGGGGACTTCAAAGCATCCCCCAGCCCTAAAAAATAAAAGGGGAGGAGGGGGAACAGTGCACGTACATCACAATTATGAATCAGTTCTTCAGGAATAATTTCTCATCCATATTTATAATAATATATCATTGATTCAGTTTGGAGAGAGACACACCGACAGGGCTATTAATACTCAAAAAGAAAGTTAATAAAGCCTTTAAATTTTCCGTTTCAGCTTTTCTCCCAGATCTCCCTAGAACTTACTCTTTGTGCCAGCGAAGGGAAACCTTGGCCCCTTGAATTTTGGCAGGAAACACATCTGCAATGTCCCGGGACTTGGCTGAAACCTACCCCACCCAGAGGGCAGCGGTCCCCACCGTCACGGACCGCGGGGCTCGCCCCCTCTGCCTTCCACACACCAGGCTCTCCCCCCACCCCGGCACTGCCTGTGGTCCCCACGGCCAACACCGCTCCCCTCCAGGTGCACACGCGACTCCACAACTCAAACCTCGGCCCACACGACACCCCTTCTCGAGGGCGCTTCCCGGCCACCCCTGCTGTTTTGTTTTCGCGTGGCTCTTGCTATTATTCCAAATGTGTCCTTTGTTGGTGTACTGTTTTCTCACCTGTCTCCTCTGTCAGACTCTTCACAGCTTGAGTGTAGAGACTTGTTCTATTTGTAACCGTATCCCCACGTGCAACATGCAGCCTGGTGTGTGTGTGTGTCAGAGATCCACATTTCTGCTTTTGAAATCCCCAGTAATTTTTAGAAACTACATAGGTAGACTGAACGATGAAATGCAATACAGAATAAATGAAGAAATAAACATCGAGAGAATAGATATATTCATATATATTCATATATATATATATGTGTGTGTGTGTGTGTGTGTGTGTGTGTGTGTGTATATATATATATATATGATTTGTTGCCCCCCAAAATCTCTATTTGCCAAATTTCCACTTATTCACTAGGGTATAAAATTCCATCACAAACACTGCGTTTTGCACTAGGAAGATGAAGAATGAAGTTTCTTTCACGACCTGGTGGTTCTGACGGCCCTTTATAAACTACGTAACCCTGCATGGGTGAAGGATGTTAACTTATTGTGGTGATCATTTTGCAATATTTACAAATATTGAATCATGATGTTGAACCCCGGAAATGGCTATTATGTCATATGTCAATTATATCTCAATTAAGAAACATAAAAATAAGTGAAGGGAGCAAACTATTGATTTGAACAGAAAAACAACCACCGGGTAAATATAGGGAATTATAATTACTATAATCTGCTTTGGCTTCCTTGACCTTAAATGGGGCTGGTGAGGTGAGGTGGGCTGAGGTGAGGTGAGGAGAGGGGAGGGGAGGGGAAGTGGGCTGCCTAGACCTCCTGGAAGTGGACTGGAGCCAACTGCTCTGCATACTCTGGGGCCAGGAAACTTCTGGAAGTGACATGGGTTTATTTTTAAAGTTCCCTTTTCCTCACTACAAAAGATATCTACATGTAAATGGTATGTTTATAAACTCTTAAGAAATGATCTGCAATTTCTTGGCCAGCCCATTTATGGGTTTCATCTCATCAACCATCATGGCTTCCTAGCGTTGCATGGGGGAACGGAGCAAGAAGCCAGGCAGCTGGGGCCAGAGGAAAGGTTTCGGAGGTGGGTGGGGGTGCCGGTTCTCCCTCCGAGCCTCACTCGTCATGAACAAATAGTCGCCCCTGGCGCTCCTTTCAACCATAGCATGCTCTAACGCCTCTCAAGGGACCATCCACCGTCACAGAGAAACACAGATAGCAGAAAAGGCTCCAAACGACTTGAAGTTCCTTTTCAGCAATTTACCAAACTAAACACCTTGTCGGCGTATAGAGGTGAAGACCTGGCGAATGCCTAGGTGCCTGGGCTGGTGTGGAGGGAGCTGAAGTCACCGTCCCAGCATCCCAATGACCAGCCAACTTTCTGTGGACAGTGCAGGCGTGTTGACAGGTGGCAGGCCTCACTGAGCACTGCCCACGCACAGGCCCGGTGCTGGGGCCAGAGTGACAGAACGGGACAGGCTCACGAGGCCTGTCAGAGCCGTAAAAAAAAAAAAGTCTGGTGTGGCTACGGTGGGAAAGAGGCCAGCAGTCAGGAGACGGATGAGGTCCTGACCCGTGGGGGGACCCCGCTGAGACCCCTTACCGCCCCATGCTCACCTCCCCCGTTGTCCCCCACCACCTCTTTCTGTCCGTCTCCCCCAATTCCCTCCAAGCTGTGCCTTCTAAGAAGGAGCACCTGTCTTACCAGCTGGGGCCACGGGCAAAGCCCTCTCTGAAAGGGAAGGGACCCCAGTGGGTCACCATGGTAGGAGAGCGACAACGTTCCACGTGTGAGGACTGCGTGGAGCTTGTGGAGAAGCACCCAAAACGCTGCCCTGCGGACCACACAGACGGCGGCGGGAGGAAAGGGGGAGAGCAGAGCCCAAGATGCAGGAGGAGAAGACAAGAGCGAGGGGCTGGCAGGTTGGGGGAGTGGGGGGGGGAAGAAACATGAGTTTCGTCCCTAAGGGGAAACCCAGCTAAGGGCTCCGGGCACCTCAACACCGTACACACCTCATGACTCTACAAAGGACGAGGAAACGGCGGGGAGTGGGGAGAGCAAGGAGGGAGAGAATGCTAGAAAACGGAAACTCAGACAAGAAAGAAGTCAGACCCACACGGCATGCTGTTTAAAGCCCGACAGAGCCTGAGCAGCAGCGGTCCCTTTGCCTGCGTGTCCACGGGGCCCCGGACGGAGCTCGCAGCTTCCTCTGGGAGTGCTGCTCTCACTGTCAGGGTTACTGTTACTCCTCCCAGGCAGCTGGCTGATCCAGAAACGGTCTCTTCTGCCCTAAATTAGGACGTGAGAGGAGCCAAGTTTTTATAAGGACTGGATTCAAACCGCTCCTTGAAGCTGACGGTCAAGCACACACGTGGACACATGTGCACCCATGTGGATGCATGTGGGTGTGTGTGGACATGTGTGGACGAGACATGGACATGTGTGGATGTGACGTGGATGCACGTGGGCATGTGTGGACATGTGTGGATGAGA